AGAATACCAAGTATTTAGGTGAAACGAGGTTAAAATGCACATTAAGAGTAGACCTAAAGAAGTTATACATAAAATACTACTTTACTCAATATTCGAGGGCCTGCTTTGAGCCAGGCCGTTCTAGGTGCTGGCGTTCAGCAGCAAACAGACAAAATCTTTTATGTGATGTGGCTTACACTGCAGTTGGGGAAAACAACAAATAATGTAGGTAAAAAATAGAGAATATGACTGGTGAGTGCTAAAGGTAAAGAGGAAGGAGATGATATTTCTCAGAGGTGGAAATTGATACCATTTAAATTAATACAATTAATTAAAAGAGCAACACAAAGCGGGGCCTGGCTGGCTACTCTTGATCTTGGGGTCATAAGTTTGAGACTTAGATTGGCTGTAGAGATTGCCTAAAGAAATACAAATTAAAAAAAAAAAAAGCAAAGAAAAGGCAATAAGTAATGAAGACATAAAGCAGAAGTCATCACATCCCACCGTACCATTCACTCCCACCCTGCCTTGTAATAACAGCACGATATATGTATCTCTACTCTTATTCATACAAGTATGTGTACACAAATACTGCATCGAGTTTTGTCTTATTTCTACATGTTCTCTGCAAATTGCTTTTAAAATTTAATATATATTTTGAGCAACTTTTAAGTCTGTACATACATAGATATCTTTTAAGTTCCTTAATATACACATACGATCTTACATAAATAAAATGAGATTTTTTTGGTGGGTCTGTTTGCTTTAAATAAATGAGATAATACATGTCCTCTGCATCTTTTCTCATCTAACAATATGTGATAGAAATTCCTCCAAGTCTGTCTTATAGTTGTTATTTCATTCTTTTTAACGATGAAAACTCTAATGATGATTTAAACTTCTTCATAATCAGTGGGCATTTACTTCGCTACCAGATTTTCACTATCAGGGTAATTGTGCCTGTGCACATAGCCGTGACCATGATGGTTTCACTCCTGTGGAACAGAGTCCCTGCGGTAGGATTGCTGGGTTGAGAGATATGTAGATTTAACATTTTTTAGTAAGTATTGACAGATTGTTTACCAAACAGGCTGGAACAATTTATATTTTCATCAGTAGATGTACAGTATAAAAATATCCTTACTCTTTATACCCACTAGCAGTAGCTGTTGTAGCCTTTAAAAGAAATAGAAAAAAAAAAGGCTGGTGGTATGTACAGTGATTTCTCCATATTATTTTACTTGCATTTCCCTGATTACTGTAAATCTGCGTAACTTTTTATATGTTCTTTGTTATTTGGATTTCACTCATAATTAAATTACCTTTTGTATTCATTTTGTGTTGCTGTATAACAAATTAACACAAATTTAGCGGCTTAAAATAATACCCGTTCATTATTTCATAGTTATGTGGGTTAGAACTTCAGGTGGGCTTGCCTGGCTCTCTATTTAGTGTCGGATAAGGTGTGTGCCAGGCTGGGCTCTTAACTAAAGGATCTGGGGGAAGAATTCACTTCCAGGCTCATTCCTGTGGTTGGCAGAATTTCAGACCATACAGTCGTAGGACAGTTGTAGGACGGAGGTCTCTGTTTCCTTGCTAGCTGTTAGCCAGACGTTCTTCTCAGCTTTTGAAAGTTATTCTTCAGTCTTTGTCTGTAATGCTTACCGCCCCCCTCCACGCCGCCATCTTCAGAGTTAGTAAGGATTCATCAGATCCTTCTCATACTTGACTCTCTGTGTTTTCTCTTCTGCTATCAACCAGAGAAAACGCTCTGCTTTTAAAGGGCTCATGTGCCTAGAGTAGGCCCACCCAGATAATTTTTGTAAGTTAAGGTCTATTGGTGAGTAACCTTAAATTACTTCCACAAACTCCCTTTGCTTGGTAAATGTAGCATTATCGTGGGAGTAACACCAGGGGCAAAGACCATGGGAGCCATCTTAGAATTCTGTCTACCACAAATATTCATGTTTTTATTTATATCTTTACATTTATGTCCATGTTTCTATGTTGTTTGCCTTTTTATCTTTATTTAACTAGTTCATAGGAAGTTTTTGTATGTTACATGTTAAGCCTTTCTACTCTTGGTTGCAAACAGTTTTTCCACCTCTTACAAGTTGTCTATTGGCCACTAATATTAAGTTCCTTTTCCATAGAAAACTTAGTCATTTGGATTTCACTCTTAAGGTGCATTATGTATTTGTATCTTTTTATTCACATTTTAAATTTTTATTCATTTTTATTTTTCATTCACTTCATTTTTTATTAACATTTGCCCATACGTGCACTGTCTTTTTAAAAAAAAAATTGTAAGTGTTCTTTCTATATTATATGTAAACATTTCATCATATTATTTGTAAATTTTCTCCAAACTGTAATTTGTCTGTTTACCATATTTATAATACCATTTCCCATTCAAAACTTTAGTATATATATGCAAGTATATTATTTTACAAAATATGGATATTTGTAAATACATAAAAATTTCAAAGTATTCTGTATTGATTAAGGCCTTCACCCCTGGGTGGCATATGTACTGTCCTAGAATGGCTTATGCGTTTTATTCTTGGTTTTGTTGTTGGGGTTTTTTTACATTCATCTTTACTCCATTTGGAATTTGTTTTTTGTATAGAGTGCCAGCTGTGGATCCAACTTTACTTTCTTCTGAGTGGGTTGCCAAATGTTCCAACACTTCTTATCACATTATCTTTTTCCAATGAAATGAAATACCAACTTTGTCATATATTAATTTTTCACATATAATGAGATTTCTCAATATACTCAGTTGTTTTGCTGATAGTACTCTTTATATATGGCAATAGCATGTGTTTAATTACAGCGATTCTATATTTGCATACAGTGACTTCATAAAATGCTCAGGCAGAGCTTTATCTCACCCCACACTCCTGGGCTACTGTTGTTTTTACTACTTTTCTTGGCTATTACCAGGCATTTGAAGTTTGTGATCGTTTTATCCATTTAGGGCTTGAAACTGCATTACATTTAAAGATTAATTTTGGGAAATTTGACATATGATATTGTCTTCTAAGAACTAACAAAATTGTATTATTTTGTTTGCTCAGATCTTGTCTATATCATTAGTAAGATTGGGATTTGGCACTTTTCTTCACTTAAGTCTTTTGTCTTTTTTTTTTTTTTTTTTAAACTAAATGTACTCTTGTTTCTTAGTCTTTGGGTCATTATTGAGAATGGATTTTTTTCCATTTCCATTTCTTAAGGCTTATTATAAATAAAAAGTCTATTTGTGTGTTTGTGTGCTTACCTTGTATACCACACATTTATTACACATACTTACAAAATCTTATTCCAGAAGTTTTCACTACAGTCTCTTGGGATTTTTAGAAATATAATGATGACAGTCACAAATATAATGACACTCACACTCACAAAATCACAAAAATAACCTGTTTTTTCCAGTGTTTGAAAGATTCTTTTCTTCTCTATAATCTTTATTGCCTAGAAACTCCATTATATAGTGTTAAGTGATAATGCTGATAGCAGGCATCTCTGAGTGCTATTGATTTTAATTGAAATATTTAGCTGTTTTGGATATTTGTGTTGCTATTTGGTAAATAGTCTCACTTAAATAAATTCTTTTCTGTTTCACTAAGAGATTTTATTAGAAATAGCTGCTGAATTTTGTCAAATGCCTTTTCAGCTTCTTTTGATGTGGCTGTGTGTTACTTTCCTTCAATCTGGTGATTAGCTAGATTGTTTGTGAGCTGCTGACGTTAAGCCACTCTTGTCTCCTTGGAATAAAACCTACTTGGTCATAACGTGTTATTCTTTCTTTTATAAATCAGTTTCCAGTCGCTGATATTTTATTTAGAACTTCAGCAAGCATATTCCCAAGTGAGATCGGTCTATAGGTTTCTTCAGTGGACTTTTTATTAGATATAAGAAGTTATACAGTCTGGCAAAATGTGGGACTAATCAGAAGGCTCAGCCACTGCCAGTGAGAATGCAGATTTATTCAAACATATTGGGGAACCATTTGGATGTATCTACTTAAGTGAACATATGAAATCTACTGATTCTGTTTCTGGGCAAACACCGAGGAAAATGCATACATATGTACACCAAAAGATAAGTTCTAGAATACTTAGAGCAACAGTATTAGTAATAGCTTCAAACCAGAAACTACCTAAAAGTCCATCTACTAGGGAATGGATTAAATACATTTTGGTATTCATACGATGGAATATTATACAGCAATAAGAATGCACAGTTCATAGGTACATGCAACATATGGGTGAATCTCAGAAACATTATATTGAGCCTAAAAAGGCAGCTACAAAAGGATACTGTATGCTTTCCATTATATAAAGTACTAAAATGGGCAAAACTGATTTGTGTTAACTGTTAGAAGTCAGGAGAGTGGTTATCTTCAGTGAGAGGGAGGTAGGGGAGGAGATGGTGTTTGAAAGGGAGTCTGAGGGGGACTTATGCAGTGCTGGTAATATTTTGTTTCTTTATCCTGTGCTTGTTTATGTTGGGTTGTTTGGTTCATGAAAATTCATCTAATTTACACTTATATGTACACTTTTCTGTATGTACATTATATTTGAATAAAACATTTTTAGAAGGCAATACGTGTTTCATAGAATGAATTGGGGAGCTTTTCATCTTTTCCTACACTTCAGAATTGTTTAAATAAGAGATCATTAAAATTATGTTAAAGATTAGATGAAATTTGGATGAGAACCCTTTTGGTCCCGAGGTCTCCTATTTTAGAGGTAGGATTTTTAATTGCTTTCCTAGTATCTTTGGTTCAAAATATTCACTTCTTGGATTAATTCTGATAATTTTTATTTTGTAGGAAATATTTCATTTCTTCTAGGTTTTCACATTTATTTCTAAATGTTTCTTGTAATTCTGTGTGGTATTATGCTTTTTATTCTTATTATCGAAGAATTATCTATGTGTGTTTCTTAATTTTCAAGGAGTTCAGGAAAAGAAATACTCACCTTTTACATTCAGTTCCTCATGGCAAGTTGAAGGATGAGGAAGAGAAAATTAAGGTGGATCAAGAATGTGCTCAGAATCTCGTCTGAAGATTTCTGCATCAGTAACTGAGGAGGTGTGTTATTAGCTTCTCCATTTCCCTTGCCTTACTGGAAAACAGGACACCAGTTTTTTTCCCTCTGTCCTCGTCTTGTTCCTTGACCCAAACATCTCTTTTTTGTGTGTCGCTTGGAAAAGCAGTTTGGTTTCTTCTCCTATAGTCAGTGGACAGTTTCCAACAATTTAAACAATCTTTCTATTTACAAACATGTAAAACAAATGGCAAAGATTAGGAATGGGTCATGGATATTAGCCATCTTGCCTCTCTTATTCTCAGTGTGTTTGGTCATTATTACTGGACTAATTTGTCTTTAATGTGCAGATGAACAAAGTGTAGCCCTGCCAATTTACATTTTGCTTCTGTATCAGCAAGGAATGGAATTAGCTTTTAAGTTTGAGAAAACCCAACAAATAATGGCCTAAAAAATAGAAGTTCACGGTAAGGGAGTTGTTAGCATTGGTCCAACTGTTCAAAATGTCAAGAAGGACCCAGGCTCTTTTTATTCCTCTTCTCTTCTTAGAGGATTGAATTTTCATCTATTGTTTGGTTTCAAGATGGCTCCAATAATGCCAATCATGTTATCCAAGTTCAAGGCAAGACGAAGGTAAAAAAGAAAGAAGGGTCGTACTAATTAGGACTTTCTCTCTTTTGACAGCAAAGGAAATCTACCCAGTGGCCCTCCAGCAGATTTCTCCATGTATCTAACTGGCCACAACATTGCCTCCCTACATTTAATGGATGTTGAGAAAGTGAGTATCTCACTTTTCAGCTTCTCTAGTAGGAGATGGCAGTGAGAAGTCAATTTCAAATGGCTTTTGGGTTAAAGACAAATGTTCTCGTTCACAAATGCCCCATTAGACAGGAATCTCTTTAATCACTCATTTCTATTTTGCATTTTCCCTCATTTCTTCTCTCTCACCTGACTATAAAAGGTAATATATGTAATTTGTAAACACTGAGTCCTGATATCCTGACTCTTGAGAACAGTGCTTCAAGTCACCTTCCAAATGGGACTTTTGCTTTTCTATATGATATCCCAATCATTCTAATCTTGTTTGTTCGTTCCTTGTTTTGAATTTACTCACTCTCTGAAGAATGATCAAACAGCTCTCCTAAGTAGACTTCCTTTCACACAAATCCTAAGGAACCCTGTTGTCTTAGATAGAGCCTTGAGTCTGTCCCTAATATTGCTGAAGTTTTCTCTCAGTTAATGCATGAATCTTCTTGTGTTCTTTCTACTTGAAGAGGATTATCTTTTGTACCTTGGAAGAAGTTGGTTTGTTTTTCTAAAGAAGCTAAATAAAAACCTTAAGATATGTCGTAAAAAATAAACATCCTTGGGCATAAATTCTTTGGCCCAACCAGTACCCTAAAAAAACCCCTAAATTTTAAACTTCCGATATAAAAAGTGTAGGCCTCCTTTGCTCTTTAAAATGAAAGACCAAATTATGCTTCTGGCCAAGTGAAGTAACAGATTTATCTTCCCCTTTTAAAGAATAGAGGGGGAAAATACACAGTAGTTTTCAGATATTGAATAACAGCACAAGGCAATAATTCCTGAGAGAGAGGAAAACAAATTGTGGCCCTAGCTTACTGCCTAGAGAGAGTGTTCATGACATGAGGGGCAACCCAGCAGAGCCTAGAGTTCTCTGTGAATTGAAGAGACAGAGTTGGGAGTTTGGTGAGTCCAAAATAGCTAGAGTTTGCAGGACAGAATACTATAAGAAAGCTCTGGAGCTCTGAACTGGGTCTTCCCCAAGTCTTCAGCTAAGTATTGATAACTATAAGCACATGATGCATCTATCAGAGGCTGAGGAAGAGTCACCTAATAGATAGGCAGAACAATCTTCTGATATTATGCAAGATTGGGAATAGTTCATGTTTCCACCAGGCACAGTGGAATATATGATAAAGTTTGAGGCATTAGGTAGAGGATTAGGAAGGGTATTGTTGGCTCATCACTGTGTAAAAATTCAACACTAGGTTAAGTGTTGCTTTGGCTCTGTCTTAAATTTAGAAGTAAAACACGAATAGCTCAAACACACACACACACACACACACGAATAGTGTGGGAAAGCAAAGATGGGAACTTTACACTAGTTCCCAAAAAGGCAAAATTCATAATCTTGGGACCCAATAATCTGGTATGCAAAGGAAAAGGAAAACACAACCCCAAATGAGGAGAAAATGTAATAAATTCAAATTAACATTCAGAAAACACATTTAAATTCAGAATTAACACATTTCATAAAGTTAATGTTCAGGGTTCTTATACTATTTGTGAAGTAGGATAATATAAATTATAGATGTACACCATTGAATCTAAAGCAACCACTTAAAGAAACTACAGCTAATATATATACGTATATATACATATATTAGCTGTAGTAGATTAGATGTAGATTTATTTATTTTAGAAAGGGGAGGGGCAGAGGGAGATGGAGGCAGACTCTTAAGTAGATTCCATGCTAAGTGTAGAGCCTGACACAGGGCTTGATCTCACCACCCTGAGATCGTGACCTGAGCTGAAACCAAGAGTCAGATGCTTAATTGTGGCACCCAGGTGCTTCCCACCAAGTAACTATAGCTAATAAGCCAATAAAGGAGACAAAACAGAGTAATCATAAAATATTCAATTAATCCAAAAGAAGATAGGAAATGGAAAAGGGGAACAAAGAACAAGTATGATAAATAGAAAATAAATACTGAGGTGACAGATTACTACGTAAGTAATCACATTAAATGTAAACGGTGTAAACACCATAATTAGAAGGCAAGATTGACAAGTTATATACAAATAACAAGACTTGCCTACATAAAATGCTACATACAAGAAATCCACTTTGAACATAAAAACTCAAATAGGTTAAAAGTAAAAGGATTAAAAAAGATGCCATAAAAAAAGAAAGCCTCAGTGACTGCATTAACATCAGGCCAAATAGATTTCAGAGAGCAGGGGCAAAGAGGTTTATTTCTTAATGATTAAGAGGTTAATTCATCAAGAGAACATAACAATCCTAAAAGTGTATGCACCTAGTAACAGAGCTTCAAAATAAGTGGAACAATGAAGGGAGAAAGAGACAAATCAGGATTTGGAAGAGTTGGGTAACACTACAAACCTAATTAACATTTATAGAACATTCTACCCAACAACAGCAGAAAACACTTTTTTTTTTAATGTGCCAAGAACATTTACCAAGGTAGACCATATTCTGAGCCATAAAACAAGTCTCAATAAATTGAAGAGGGTCCAAATCATACAAAGTACGTTCACTGACCACAGTAAAATTAAATTAGAAGCCAATAAAAAAAGGTGTCTGGAAAATCCCCAAATATTTGGAAACTAAATAACACACTTCTTAATAACCAAAGGGTCAAAGGAAAATTAAAAAGTGTTTTGCCAGTGAGGATGTGGAACAAGAAATCTCATTCACTGATGGTAGGAATGCAAATGGTACCACTACTTTGAGAGACAGTTTGGCAGTTTCTTACAAAACTAGACCTGCTCTTAGCATATAATCCAGCAATAATGCTCCTTGGTATTTCCCCAGCTGAGTTGAAAGGTTATAGTCACAGAAAAACAGGCATATAGCAGATTTATTCATAATTGCCAAAACTTAGAAACAACTAAGATGTCCTTTGGTAGGTGAATGGATGAATAAATGGTGGGTTCATCCAGAAAAATGGAATATTATTTAGCAATAAAAAGAAATGAATTATCAAGCCATGAGAAGACATGGCGGAAACTTAGATGCATATTACTAAGTGAAAGATATGATTTCAATTATATGACTTTCTGCTGGAAGTAGTGAAAAGATCAGTGGTTTTCAGGGACTTGGCAGAGGAGAGATGAATGGGCAGACTTCAGAGAATTTGGGGGGCACTGAAACTATTTGTATGATACTATAGTGGTGGATACATGTCATTATACATTTGTGCAAACCCATAGATGGATGTACAACATTCAGAGTGAGCTCTAATGCAGATTGTGAGCTTTGGGCAATAATGATGTGTCAATGTAGGCTCATTGATTATAACAAATGTACAACCTGGCTATCAGATCTTGGTAGTGGGGGAGGCTGTGCCTCTTGGTAGGAGAGTGGGCTGGGCAAGGAGTATATAAGAAATTGCTATACTTTCTCCTCCACTTTATTGTGAGCCTAAAACTGCTCTAAAAATAAAGTCTAGGGGCGCCTGGGTGGCTCAGTGGGTTATTAAAGCCTCTGCCTTTGGCTCAGGTCATGATCCCAGGGTCCTGGGATCGAGCCCCGCATCTGGCTCTCTGCTCCGCAGGGAGCATGCTTCCTCCTCTTTCTCTCTGCCTGCCTCTCTGCCTACTTGTGATCTCTGTCAAATAAATAAATAGATAATCTTAAAAAAAAAAGTAAAGTCTTAAAAAATTAAAAGTCTATATAAAAAAATACTTTGAACTGAATGAAAACAAAAATGCAACATACCAAAATTTGTGGAATGTAGCTAAAGAGAACTCAGGGAATTTTATAGCACTAAACTATGTAAGAAAAGAAGAAAGTTTTCAATTCAATGATATCAGCTTTCATATTAAGAACCGAGACAAAGAAAAGTAAAATAAGCCCCAAATCAGCTGAACAAAGGGAATGAAAGAGATAAAAGCAGAAATCAATAAAATGTAAGACAGGAAAACAGAAAGGCAGTGAAAAGATAAGCTGTATTTTTTGGAAAACAAATAAAATGGAGGCTATTCTGATAGGTTCTGCAGACAAGCTCCTGTCCACATAGGTGGAGGAGGAGACTTGCAATGCCTTCTCATACCCAAGAAAAATGACCAAACAGGTCCCGGGGTCATGAGAAAAACCCACTACCATCTTATGTGCAGGTGGTGATCTGCTTACCAAATTAAGTAAGATCTGTGTTCTTCAGTGAGGGGAAAATATAGGATTTCTTTTTTTCATCCAGGAAACTTGTTCTTACCTAGTCCTTTGAGAAGTTTCTATATATACTTGCAAGCTAGATAAAGGTATTTCTTTAAATAATTCTTTATTTCTGACTTCACGTTTTAGACATCCTTCTTTCATCCTCATTCTTCTACTGAATTTGTTGATTTGACCTTTCTTCATAGCTTCACTTTATTTCATTCCATGGCTTTTTAGGTTATTGGCTTCCTACTTCCTTCTATAGGTAGAAACCTTAAATAATTGTTGTTTTCCCCAAAATACTGGTGGGTGATCTTACTGCATTTACTTAAATTATGTTGTATTTACTTAAATGATTTTTTTTTTTTTCCTGAGACAAACTTGACCTTAAAACCTGCCATTTATCTGATATGTGACCCCAGGGCAAGAGAGTCTCTGGGTCTTTACTTTCCCCTCTAAAAAATGGTACCTTCACCTCTATCATCCCAATTAAGTCCTTCAAAGGTAGTGCCGGGCATATGGAGACCCCTCAGGAAGGCCAGCCTTTCAGCTCTCTTTCTCATTTCCACCCCAGCAAACAGGGCAGCTGTTTACAGTACTTCGCCTGCTGCAGGAAACGTCCCCATAGAGAATTCTGGACCTGGTAACCAAAAGCAACACATTACAAAGACCTCTTGGTTTAAAAACATTCATAACCTGAATCTTTCCAGGTGATTTATTTAGAAACCTCCTTAGAAAAGGAGTCAAACTAAAAACTAATTTTCTCCATTCCTAATTTTTCCCAGAAAATGAAGAGATCTATTTAAAAGAATTTATAGGCAATGCCATATTTAGGAGGAAAAGCTGAGAGAGCTTCC